GCCAAAATACAGATTGCCAATTCGGCACTTCGTGCCTCATCCTTGCAATCGAAAAAATTGGCAATTCGCCTGGGAAATGTATTGTTTATAGAGATATAAGAAATATATATTTTATGAATTAGTTTTTTCGGTCCAAAGTAGGGGATAGAGGTTCTATTTATACGTTTTTGTAGTAATTTATTAGACTACTAGTACTTGATTATGAAATAGACTATTTTGTACTCATAAAAATCGGTGATACGCAAAAGTAAGATTTAAAATTTTTGATATGGTGATACGTAAAAATGATACGCAAAAGTAAACAAAATTTTTGATCCAGTAATCGATAATCAACCCATCTGGGTGGCCAAAAAATAAAAAATGGCCACACTCGAATGTAGCCGATTTCACGATTCCATCTGGGTGGCCAAAAATTAAAAATTGGCCGCATTTTGGTTAGATTTTTTAGATCGCATAGCTTTTTAAGCTTTGAAGACAATAAAACGGCTAAAAAAGATAGTTAGATAATTAAGCAGTCCATAACGTCTGTAGACGTTATCTGATGTGTAAATAAAAAATCGAACTAAAATAAGACAAAAATGCGGCCTAAAAATGAAAAATGGCCGCTCTCGAAGGTGGCCAAAAAACAAAAATTGGCCGCTTTCGAAGGGGGCCAAAAAACAAAAATTGGCCACATATTTGGGGAAGTTATAATCTACCTACAATGGTCTATTTAACACTCAAATGCGGCCAGAATCATAAAATCAACCACATAGGGAGGTTATAGTCTAGAATAAGTGGGGTGGTTGTAGTCTGTACAGACTACAACCACCCCACTGCTTAGCTATGGTACATTCGTCATCAATATTATAATATAAATACTAACAGTTCCTCAAAAGCATCCAGGATGATTGCCATGGATTTACATTTATCGATCACTTCCACACGATATTTATGACATGTCTCGGAGATGTCAACACCACTTATAATCCACTGTTTGAAGAGTTATGAATGATGGATGAGAAGCTATAATTTTTCATATCATGTAGTGCAATAAAACACCTACCCATATTGAATCTTTACTGAGGTGTCATTCAAGAATACCCGGACCGGTGAAGTAAAGAAGTTGGAAAGTTTTCTTCCCTGATTTTATAAACTCTTCATCATTTGAAGAATTGGGGGAAGATGGCACATACAAAGAATATAAAGAAGTTGTAGACAATATGGATGGCGAGGATGATTCCCTGGCTGTTTCAATCTGTAAATACATCAGAAAGGTGAGATAAATGTTCTTGTCTCAGAATATTGAATCATGATCAATAGCAATTACGTGGATAACTACCTGATTTTCTGAAGTTGGAGATTGTGGATTGTCCACTTGGAAATAATCATATATTTTCTTTTTTTTTGAGACATTACCTAAAGGCCTGCATGGATAACAATAATTGAGCCCATATCCAACCCATACCCGTTTCTCAAAATTTTATATCCAAACCCAACCCATACCCAAAAAAATCTCCAAATTTTAACCAAACTCAAAATATACCCACATCTTTTTTTATTTAAAACTAGAGTGATGATGGGTGGCAGGCGATAACCACCACCACCATCCTTAAAACACTTACCCATAGATTTCTTCTGCTTCTTTTCCTTTGGTTCTTTTATTTTTGCTTCGTTGTTGGGACATTTTGAAATCTTTACAAATGAAAAAAAAGAAAAGTTTGTTATTTGATTGATGCGTACACGCTAATTATCCTATTGGTTTTTTTTTTGGTAGGACAGATGTGAATAGTGATGGGAATTTTTAACCCTACACTTAATAACTCCAAGTTATTAATAGTTAATAACCACTTATTAACTGTTGCACTCTGAGTGAGAGTTATTAATCCAAAAGATCCATTTTGTCAATCAATCCCAGTGTATAGAATTCAGCATGTGGAATGTGCTGTGCTAACCAAATTCAGCAGATTTGGAAAAAATTTATCAAATTTGGTTAGCATGCACACTCTGCACACTGAATTTTATGCACAGTACTAAATTAATTATTAACTTGTTTATCAAATTAATATTTGATTAAACAGTTACCAATAAGAGATCTGCATGTTTGTGTTTTTAACACTTAATAATAGAGTTAAGTACTTAATAACTTGGTCATTTTTCAAAATAATTTTTACGCCCATCACTAGTTGTAGATTAATTTTGTAACACTTCACGATATCACAATATGTATACGTTTACTATATTAATATTAATAAATTACTTGACATGACAAAAAAAATTATGTATTTTAGTTGAATAAAAAAAAATAAACTTAGGTTTTTAATTCTTTCCTTGAACATAAATGATGCATTTTTTTTCCATATGTACTTCACAATGTTTATTAAATACATTTGATATTGTCATTGATATGACAAATAATTACTAGGGCCATGCAGAAACAATGCTTTTTTTTTTTTTTTTGCTGAAAATTATCCTGATGATTCATATTTATCTTTGAGTGAGCTAGAAAACTAGAACTACTTGATCTATAAATATTTGCTATATCAGCTTGTGCATTTGGTAAAACTTCCAAAATTGATATCACTACATTTTGAGGCCTTCCTGCAGCATAAACTATACAATCTGCTATATAACATGGAAAAAGTTAACCCATTTCTCTTATATATATATAATGTATTAATATTAAATAATTCTAATCTTTTACCAATATCCTTTGATGATAATGGATCATATCCTTCATAATAAACTTTTGAAAAGTCACTGTTACCACCAGTTCTAACTAATGTAAAATCTGTTTCAACAGCCCCTTAAAAAAAATTTTTATTAATCAATTAATCAAGATTTTTATTTCCTTTATAACAATCATGACTATGATTTTTTTTTACCTAGTCTTATTAAAATTATACAAATCTTTGTACTCAAGATTTCTTTACAAATAGAACTAATTATCAGAGAGATATATATAAATATTCTTATTTTACACATACACAGTGAATCTCGATTTAATGAATAGTTTGGGCAATTAGGGAAAATTTTCCAAAAATCTGTTAAACCGAGATATCTGCTATATCGAGAAGGTTTTTATTAAGGTTTATTATGAAACTATTCTTTGAAATTTATCTGTAAAACTGAGATTTTTAATTAGTATCCGCTAAATTGAGATTCACTGTGTATTTATTTATATATAAATAATTTCCCTACTCTGTAATTCCTTCTGTTGCAAACTTTGTAGCCACATACATGGTGTTGCCATGTCCATGACTTTTTACTCCTATTAAAATATTATATATTACTAAACCTTTTCTTTGAAACCAGAATTATGTTATTTCATTATTGGAAGTACTGCTTGAGTCATATAAAGAAGTCCATTGATATTAGTGTTAATGACAGTTTTTATTCCTTTTTGTGAATTTTTTTTCTAATGGATCAAATCCTATCACCAAACCTGCCTATATATACTTTATTTATTTATAACTTAATTTGGATTAATATCTTAATCACTGCAATGTAATTTTTTTTGACTAACATTGTTTACTAGGATATCAATATTTTTAAATTCTTCAGGAAGATTTGTCATCATTTCATCTATTTCATTTATCAACTGTAGAAATATGTACTTTGGCCAATGGATTATTCTCTAATATCAATAATTTTATTTCATCCAATCGGTTTTCATGCCTTAATAATAAAATGTAAAAAAAAAATTAAGAAATAATAAAGTTGATTAATTTTGTTGATTAAAAAAAAAGATATAATTTTTGAATTATATTTTGCAAATTCTAATGCTGTTGCTGCTCCAATTCCTGAAGATGCACCAGTACTATATGTACTGATATAATCAATTACAGCATTAATAAAAAATAATAATTAATGCTGTTGTTAATATAATGTTTCTTCCTCACATTAAAACAATTTTTCCTGCTAAATTATCATACATTTTTGTGTGTGACATTATTAGATAATCAATTGTCAAAGTGATTTCCCTTGTGATTATAGTTATGTTTGTTGATGGATTATAGAAGGAGGAATAAATTAATGAATTTAATTAAAAGTTCATATCTATCAATATTACAAAAAATTATCAACCTTTTAAATAACAACAGCGTATGTTCCAATTAATGAATATATCAAGGAAAAATGTTACAAGTAACTGAAATAAATGAATAGATATTTTGAAATTCATGATAAATAGAAAATTTTAGTATATGGGACAAGGTTAAAGATAGATCTAACCGGTTTTCACTGTAAAATTTTTGACCAGAAGATTTTAATAATTTTGGGTCCAAAGGTAATGATAATTATTATTAATTATTATTTTTTATTATTATTTGAATCTGAAACTTAATATATATCGTTAAACCCTAAATCTGCTAAATCAAGATCTGCTAAATCAAGATACACTGTGTATGTGAAATGGGACATGCTTGCAACAAAACCAGACAAAGTGAACATTGGTGTTACCAAAGATTTCAGGGATCAAAATTTAGTCATTTGTAATGTGATTATAATTCAAAGGTACACACCATTTATATCATCTTTATTAATGGTAGAGTAATGATAATCAATAATTGATGTTAATGTCTCAATTTGCATATTGGGAATACACAAAACAATTGAGGATGAAATTGTGATTCTTATCTGTATGTGGTATAACTACAACCAAAAATATGTTTTTTTATAACATTGTAAATGCTTATATAATTTCATACCATCAAGAATTACTTAACAAAACAGTGCTAACAGCCTTAGCCGTTGGAAAGAAAATAGCAAATTCTGAGAAAATAATGTCAATGATATAGAATTTAATTACATCTCTGGTGAAAAAAGTAATAATATATTTGGATCAATTGAAAAGTCACATGGTGAATCATCAAATATTAAGAACCAAACCAGAAACACACTAGTGCAGTCAGGATTATTACCAAATATGGAATTTCCAAATACTGTAAGGATAGACAATCTAGAAATCTTTTAGAAA